TCATATCTTGGGATTGACAGTTCCCAACACTGAGCACCTCTGGATGCCTTTCCCCCTAAAGAGGATTCGTTTGCTTACCCTGAGGAACTAGCATGAGGACAAAGGGAGATAGCGCATAAAAACGTCCATAATACCCAGAGCCTGCAGACAGGTGTGAGAGTCCTGTCACCATCAGGCTCTTTATAGCAAAGCCATCAACATTCATCCTGAGAGTCCTCTCTTCTTTTCAGATCACGTAATTTCAGATCAGTGAAAAGGGAAAGAAATGCAAATTTAGATTAAAAAAATGCAAAGATTCTGAAGAGGCCCCAATTCCTCCCAAACTTCTCTCCTGGGCTTGGTTGGGAAGCTAAGTTTAAATCCTAGTCAGACTCTCAGACCTCATCATAGTTACTGTGCTGAAAGCAAACAGACTTTAGAATTTAAAAAAAAATTTTTTTTTTCCTCATTTCGCCCCCCCTACAAAGCACCAATGTCATGGACAAGGGGCAAACTCATTACAGCTAGGTTTCTATCTGCTTGGTCCAGATGCAAGTGCTAAAATGTGAGGCCAGTTCCAATGGCCAACATCCAGGATCGTGAGCGCTGTGACTAATGCGTGTAAAACACACTCAGGGCTCCTCTCTTGCAGCATCTGGGCTCGGAAGCGAAAGTTAACTACAGAGAAAAATTCCAGACAAAATTTTCTCTCCAAACTCTGCCGTGCTTTTCATGTTTTGAGGCAGTGAATCTGGTTTAAAGCAAGGGAGCCCTTGGTTGGGATGGAATTACTATTTTTTTTAGGTGGACGCTACTGTTGTGGTGGTGTTCATTGGCTCCTGTCCATGAAGTTCACATTGGTTTTTTTTTTTTTTTTTTGGTATTAGGATAGACTAGATTGTGCCCTGATAACCAACAACTCCAAATGCTCAGACTTAAAATAACTAGCATTTATTTCTTGCTCATGTTACGTGTTCTTTGCTGGTTTCAGGGGGTCTGCGTTCATGGTAACCACCTGGGGTCCTAGGTCAATGGAAGGGCTGCCATTTCAAACTTGGCTATTTGCTGGGCCAGAATGAAAAGAAGAATCGGACGCTAAAGTGACGCGGAAGTGGCCCAGAAGTGACACATGGTGTGACCAGATTCCTATGCCGGAAGGCCTGAATCTGGGGGTCCCCACAAATCAGGTCCAGTCACTCATTCCCAAAACCGAATGGAGAAAGTAATGGTGAAGAGCAGGACAGGACCTTCACTCCGCATGGCCCTAGGGAGAAGACAGGTGAGGCCCAATGTCTCCGTCCTGGCTCTGGGGAGACTGACAGCGGCCTTAGGTTTAAACACAGGATGAACTGGGGAAGAGGGTGCGGGGGCTGTGTAACTAAGCAGCGTTGGTGAAACTGTGGCCTGTTTGGTCTTTACCTCCACTCTGGTCTACAGGGTGGCTCCAGAGAAGTACTTATCGCCTGAGGGGACCATCCGGTTCCCCTGAGATGGTGGGGATCTCATCATGGGTGAATCTCTCTGTGAGGCTCTTCTGTTCCTGGAACCCAAGGTGACTGCAGGTTCAGGGTGATGACTGGAGACTTCCAGGCACTGCTCCGGGGGTTCTGGGGCAGGAGGCTGTCAAAGCTGGCAGTTGAATGTTTCTGCAAAATCTTTTTTTTTTTTTTTTTTGGTACTGGGGATGCAGCCCAGGGGCTCTTTACCACTGAGCTACATCCCCAGCCCTTTTCACTTAGAAAGACGGTGGGATGAGATGGGCATCGTCACCCTGGGTACACGTAGGACAACACAAACGGGGTGACTCTACTTTGTGTACAACCAGAGACATGAAAAACTGTGCTCTACATATGGACTGTGAATTGAGATGCACTCTGCTGTCATGGGTAACAAATTAGGATGAATACATAAATTCATATAAAATAAAAGAGAGACAAAATGAAGACAGAGATATCAAGCTTAATCCTGCTTTTAACTACCCATTGGGCATCTGCAGGCCCAAGTGAAGAGTCAGTGCTTTTAGCAAAAGTGGCCTCTAGCTCCCCATTATAATGACATTTCTACTTTCCACACATTGGCAACAGCTAGTCCTATGACCCCATCCACCGAAAGGGGACAGAACATGCAGTCCCACTATGTGCCCAAGAAGGGGCACAAAAACTATTTGTCCACAGCTTTTTATTTCTGTTCCTTATGCCTCCTGGATGGGTCACCAGGTACAGATGATGCAAATCTCTCTGGGAACAAAACATTCCATTCTCTTTGTTCCAAGGCTATGATCCCACCCGAGCTCAGGCTTCCCAGTGCCTCCCCTCCTGATGCACCTGCTTTCAACCTCCTCTCTTTGACATTCTTGCTCCTTGTAATTCATCCTTGGTTCTCAGGCAGAGTGATCATCCAGAAGTCCTACTGCCCCAGTCTCTTCCTTCCAGATTCAGAGCTTGGGTACTTCTGGCGCTGTCCTTCCAGGGGAACCCAGCCTACTTTTGTAGCAAGAGGAAGATGAAAGATATTTGGTGTGTTTGCTTCTAGGAAAAGATCTTTCAGGACCCTCCTGAAGCTGCGATTCTGGGATTCTATTATTATTCTCATCCACCAAGCTGCCGACTCACACCTCCAGTAGGGGGTCCAACCCAGGCGCTTAATTAGCAAAGCAAATTAAACTCTGAGGAACCAGGTTCCACAGTGGCAAGGAGACTTTCTGGGTGACCTGTCACTCAGTCATGGGAGAGGATGGAGGTGGCAGAGGGTGTCTGGGCTTCCAGGGCTGGAGAGGAGCAAGCCTAGGCCCTCCTGCACATTCTCTCTCCAGGAGCTGCCATTATTCTCTCCCAACAGATAAACACCAAAAGGCAAATTCCCGGTTCAGTCCATCTAGCGAGATGATCACCTGCCCTCCCCCGAGCACAGCTTGTCCAGGTGACAAAGCGCGTTCATCAGCACAGGCTCATTGCATGTCCCCTGGCGACATCATCAGGTAGACATAATTATCATCTACATCCAGGTACGGAAATGGAGGTGAGGGTGAGGTTGCTGGTCACGGGCAGCAAGGTCGGGCTGGAATCGGGGTCTGTGGCCTCCCTCCCAGGGCCCTTTCTGCTCTGTTCCCGGAGCTCAAAGATTCTGGCTTGCTCTTCCCACAGAGCAGCTGCCCGGAAGCTCACATCCAGACTCAGTTTCCCCGAGCCTTCCTGGGTTGGCTGGGAGCTGCGGCCAGACTTGGAACCACGGGCTCTGAGATAATCAGGTCTGTTCCCTGTCTGCCCTCATCAGCAACAATGGGCCAATTAAGGCAATTACTGCCGGTTTCTATAACAGGACGCAGGGATCACAGCGCTCAACTCTTAGAAAATCTCCTATGAAAGCGCTAATAATGCATTAATGTATTAATCCTCTTAATCCTGTCAAATTACCGCAGGCTGGCTCCTCGGAGCTGTCACCGGATCTCTGCTGTCCCTGCCTGCAGCGTCCCCCTTCCCTCGGCCCTCCCCCAGGAGGCTCTGAGGGGCCACAGGGAGAGGAAGGTGCTAGCCGACCTCTAGCAGGTGAGAAACGCACCCCCTGACATTTTTTTTTTTTTTTTTTTTTTAGGGAAGGTGATGACAGTTAAAACAAAGATTATTTTCTTGATTCTTCATCAGTGAGGAACAAGCAGCCCAGCACCATCAGTCGGCAGGGGGCCTCGATTCTCTGCTCAGGGACTACTCTTCACCTTCTCCAGGTTTCCAGGCCTCACCTGTAACCCGCGGATACAGCGCTTCCCTGCAGAGTTGGGAGGAAGATTCCATGGCTGAAGGCCAGTGGGTAACCCTCCCGCCTTTCCCCATCTGTAAAATGGGATGACAACGACCGCAGGGGGATCGGGTGACAGAATGAGAATGCCTACCAATTTTCTGGACGTCGTAGGGCTTAAGGAAACATTAGTTGTCTTATTTTTTTAAAACCATCCTTATCCTTGCTTCATTTATTTATTTTTTTGGTGGTTGTTGTTTGATTAAAATGCTGCTTGAATTTCAACAAAAGCTGAGCTTAGGAACAAAGGTCATGTTGCTGACCCAGCTGTTCTGAAGTAATTACACCTTTTTTCTGAGTGCTGCTCTCTGGGTTGGAAGGAGTTTCACCCCGAGGCCAGCCTGGATGGGGCAGCCCGGTCTTCCTTATCAGCGCCCTGGGCCGGCCTAGGTGCTGGACACTTGGAAATGATTGCCTTCCGGGGACTGGGTCGTCTCTGGTGCTGGGATGCTGTGGTCAGGCCTGATCCTGCTGCCTAGTGGGCCCTTCCTAAAGAATCAGGTGAGTTTTGACTGTTCTCGTTTGAGACCTGAAGTTCAGCCTGTGGGAGGGGACTGACAGGTGGCTTTGCCACACTTGCTGCTACGCCTGCTCATCTTTAATGCCACAAAGTCAGAATAGCCTGAAGGGGCTGCCCAGGGAATGGTATGCTCTGCTGCAGAGACCCCACCCCACCCAAGCCACGTGCTACCTTAGGGGTCACCTCTGTGGACATCTGCAGCCTCTTCTGTCAGAGGCCACGTGTGCATGTGAGGGCAGGGCTCGGCCACTCTTTGGAGGTAGAATTTAGGAGGAAGAATCCAACGCCATCACTACTCCTGGTCAGTCCTGGAGAGCTCCCCTGTCTCTCGGGGTCAGAATTCTGTTTTCTCCAACCACAACGGGAGTAGAGGCTGCCGAGAGGGAAGGTCTGGGGTTATCAGCTTCCAAGTGATTTGGGTTCCATGCTCTGGCAGACACAAGGGCCAAAGATGAGGAGTGCTCAGGCTTGGCCACCTATGGGAAGGGGCACAGGGAAAAGGCCTTTCATTCTTTCTGGTATCCTTCCTAGAGCAGTCTGGGAGTTTTTTTCTTTTTAATTTAAATTTTTATTTTTTATTTTTAATTATTTTTTTTTCAGTTTTAGATGGACACAATTCCTTCCTTAATTTATTTATTTATGTATTTGTTTATTTTAAAATATCTTTTTAATTGTTGATAGACCTTTATTTATTTCTATGTGGTGCTGAGAATCGAACCCAGTGCCTCACCCGTGCCAGGCAAGTGCTTTACCCCTGAGCCACACCCCCAGCCCCAGTCTGAGAGTTTTAAAAATCTGTCGGGCAAACTTATTCACACTCCTCCCTCCAAAAGGTAAGCCCCAGCCCTTGGGCCCTTGGAGTAAGCTGGACTTAATGACGATTCTAAAGAAGAGACTGAGGCAGACTGTAGCCTTCTGGTAATTGTAGGCCCAGATCCACATCCCAGCGGCAGACTCGTGAGAGACCCTGTGCTGTGACCCACTCGGCTGGGCTGCTCTTGATTCCTGACCCACAGAGACCGTGCGAGATAATCACGTTTGTTGCTGTGTAAGTCACTAAGTTTCAGGTGTAATTTGTCACACAACAATAGGTAACCAACATAATGAACGGTGAAAGCAAAACCCAAATTGATGTCCCTGCAGTAGGTGTGTGAGAGACTGTGTCAAGATGACAGACTGTGCTCACATGCGGTTTAGACCTGACGCGCACAATTTTAGAAGAGGAAAAGTTTATTTGGGGCCCACGGTATCAGAGGTCTCAGTCCATGGATGACCAACTCCATTGCTTTGGGCCCAGGGTGAGGCAGAACATCATGGTGGAAGGTGTGGGGGAGGAAAACAGAGAGAGCTCTGCTCATCAGGGACAAAATCCATACCTCAAGGGCGGCCCCCAGTGACCCATTTCTCCTCCAGCCACACACTACCTGCCCAGAGTTAGCACTCAATTAACCCATATTGGTGGACCAACCCACTGATTAAGTTACAACTCTCCTAACTCAATCATTTCATTTCTGAATCTTCTTGAATTGTCCCACACATGGGTTTCTGGGCGTACTTACACCTCAACCATAACACGTGGCCAGCACCTATTCATTAAAGCCCCATATCCTGATATGGGAGAGAGGAAGGTGGGCGAATCACAGACCCAGGGTCTAGGAGGCCCATCTAGAGGGAGCAGGAGGCCACCAGGTAGGACACTGATGGACCCGAGAGCCCAGTGGGATGTGGAGGGCCAGGACCCAACCCAGCTTTGAGGCTGGGGAAGTTTCTTGGAGCTATAATGAGACTCCAAGTCTGAGTAGAAATGATCAAGGTGGAGAGGGGGCCTGGGAGGAGTGGCCAGGCAGCGGGCACTGCTCACCCAGAGGCCTGCGGCCAGCGAGGTCTTCCAGCAGGTGCGAGTGGGTTTGGTGTAGCCAGAGCTCAGGGGTATGTGGGTGCACACACACGTGTGCGCAGAGGGGAGAAAGATGGGCAGGGGGGACAGTGGCAAGAGATAAAGCCTAAAACAGAGGAGAAGGACAAGTTGCGATCATAACCCAGTACGTCCCGGGTGTGTGATTTGGGTTGGACCCTTGCCCTCTTGAGCCCCCCCTCCTTGTTTCTGACATGGGGACGCGTGGTCATTAGTTTAGGGAAGACCTCAGCCAGGCCAGGCTCCAGCAAGGTCTGGGAATAAGGTGATGGTGACGGGAACAGCAAACCTGGCCCCTCAGGGCCTAGAGCCAAGCGTGGCCTCAGAGGGTGTACTGTCCTCGTTCTGTTCTGGGCCTGGCCCTGAGTCCTGGCCATGCTCTCCTAGGGTTGTGTCTCGTCCCTTTTCTCATCTCCAGGGACTAGGGCAGGCCACCGAGAGCATTGTTAATACACCTGAGGGTCACTCACTGGCAATGACTCAGGTTCTAAAGGGGCCTTGAGTCTCATCCCAAGCTCAGGCTCTGGGGTCAGACGGCCTGGCTTGAAATCTCACCTCCGAGCATTTGCCAGTCATGTGACCTGGAGCCAGATGCTTCTTCACCTTTCCAAGCCCCGCCCCCCCTTTTTTTTAAAATATAAGGACATGGGAATGTTATAACAACCTTCGTTTCAGTGGGCTTCACTGAGAATCCACTATCATAGCACAGGTTCTCGGACACCTGGTAAGCACTCAGTGACTAGACACCATCTTTGTGAATGTTTGTTAGCAGGATAATTTGGTTACTTGCTGGGATTCTGCAAACTGGTTACTGGGTTCGAGTCCCACATCTGTTACTTTAAGGCCTTGGTGAGGTGGGGCAAGAACTTAATCCCTTGTCCGTTGCCTCTCAATTTCCTGATTTGCAAAATGGCAATGATAAAAGAGAATGCACCTCCAGTGTTTGCTGGGATTGCTAAAGAAGCTGATATAGGTGAAATGTTTAGACTGGGGTATGGCAAGTGCTGTGTAAGTGGGAACTATTATGTAGAAGGAGGCTTCCTTATTATTTGCATTTTGGAGTGAGCTGGGGGTGGGTGGGGAGGCACAGTCATGTTCTTGAGGTAGCAGAATGAGAGGCTCTTATCAACCCTTAGAGGGTAGCAGCACAAAGAGAAGAGCCCCTCGCACCTACACCCATAGCGATCCCGCCCCTCCCGTTGTCCCAGAAACCCAGACTGCACCCTGGCGGCACAGGGCCAATCTCGCCACACTTCACCGCACTGTCACCCCCTCCACCCAGCAGCAGGGACGCAGGGATGTGTGTGCTGGGTCAGTGGGACTTGGGGGGAGCCAGGGAGGGTGGGAGGTGGCCGCTCTCTCTCCTGCCCCCTGCCATGAGTGGGCCCGGGGACTCAGACAGGCCTCTGCCTAATTGGCAAATGGATTCTCGAGGGGTAATTTCATTGATGTGCACCGTGGGAGGGTCTGCAGGCCTTGGTGACCAGCTCAGTCGGCTAAATGTGTTTACCAAAAAAATAAGGTTATTGATTCTGCAGATATTTTTTTTTTCCCCTTCGCCATCAGCCTATTAATGCGAGTTTTATGTAACAGGACAAATAGATCACAGTGTAAAGTCTTTTGAAAATCCCCTGTGAATGCTGTAATAATGCTTTAATGTATTAATCCCCTTAATCCTGTCAAACTTCCAAAAGAACTTCAGGACGTGCTGGTGGAAGCTCCCGCTCCCAGGGCAGGCGGTCGCCCTGGCATGGGGCAGCTGCTGCTTTTACCCATTTAAGACTGGGCCAGGGAGAGGCGGCCCTGTTAGTAATGGCTGCGTAGCTGTGAGCCGACATGACATTGGAGAGCGTGGGAATAGATGGTTCTAGCCCAGGGAATGCAAAGACAGCCTAAAGGAAGGGGTGGCCCCCCAGGCCTTGAAGCTCAGAGCTGGCTCAGACAGACCTTGTGCAATGGTGCCGGGCACTTACTGATCTCTCTCTCTCCTCTCTCTTTCTCTCGCTCTGTCTTCACCCTCTGTGCTGCTCTTTTTGTCTTGTCTGCTGGGCACTATGGTAAGCACTTTGTTTCATTTAATCTCCACAACAATCCTGGGAGATGGGTACTGCTGTTCTCTCCCTATTGCAGACATGAATGACGCATCTCCATTGCTGGCAGCTGATGGAGGAGGAGTTCCAAGCTTGGTCAAGGTCAGCAAAATCCAAGCAGTTCTTTTGCAGAGTCAAGGTCAATGAACTTTTCCATAAAAGGTCAGAAAGTAAATATTTTGGCTTTGTGGGCCATGTCTTGTTGTTAAGTGTCAAAATCTGTCTTCGCTGCTCATCATGAGAGCACCTGTGTGCAATTCATAAACAAATAGATGTGGCTGTGTTTCAATAAAGCTTTATTTACAAAAGCAGGGCATGGTTGAGTTGACCCACTCCTGTGTTAGGAGTCAACAAAAGCCGGTGGGATCCAGCAATGGCTCTGCTTGGTAGTAAATCTGACAAAGGATGATCTTCCTGGGTGGTACCTGTATCCCTTAGACTCACTGCAGGAGCTACTGCCAGAGAGGACTGACTAGGGCCCCAAGCATGGCTGGACCCAAATCCGACTTATTCTTAGGCTCTGAGCTGAGTGGCTAGGATCTGGTTTGGAACTGTTGTGTAGACTGGAGTGCCTGGGATGGATCCTGCCTTGCTGCATGCTTCTTCTTCTAAAGTTCTGGGTTCCAGTTACCTAATTAGTGAAGTGAGGCTATTGATCTTGCTGGTCGGCACAGTCCCTCATGGTATGGGATTCTCCAACTGAGTAACTGATCCTCAGCTTCTGATCATCTCAGTCCAAAGGTGCACCAATAGACCCATGTGCTAGGATGCCTTCAAAGGCTGGACCTGCTTTTGTGTCTCTGGAATACTTCATTTCAACAACTAAAACAAGCACCACCAGCAGCCACCATACACTCACCATTTGGAGGCTGGTTCCCCCAGTTCCCCAGTTGGAAACCTGTGGTCTATCTCTCCTTGATGTCTTTCTCTGTTCACATCAAGCCACTGGTCCACAGAACACTTGTTTCCTGGTTTCTCTTGAATCTGTCCCATATTCAGGCTCCTACGTGGAGATGGATAGAGGTTGGCCCCAAACCTCCCTAGACTCCACCCGCCATCATCCCTGCAGGGACAGCCTGCTCTCTGGTTTCTGTCACTCTCCTTTTAAAATACTTCAGAGGCTCCCAGTGGTCTGCAGGATGAGTCCCAGCTTCTGACCACGCTCCTGCAGGCTTTGCTCATCTTCCAGCCTCTTCCCTTTCCCCTCTGGGAGTCATCAGGCCCTTGCTGCAGGTTCACCCTTTCTCTCTCTTTCTGTCTGATTATTTCCCTCTCATCCTACATGTCCTTCCTCCAAGAAGCCCTTCCTCTTCCTGCTCCTGGGTGGTATGCCACCCTCTGACCTCATGTCCCACTAGGAAGGAGGGACCTCATCAACTGGCTTTGTAATCTTCTCTCTGAGCTATGGGTCTCCCCAGCCAGACTGTGAGCTCCCTTAGATCAGCAGCAGATCCTGCCATATCCCTCCAAATCAGTAGCACGTGCAGGGTGTCGAGAGCCCTCAGTGAATATATGCTGAACGAGGGGGGACCCCCTGCCTCACGTTACATTTGCGTATCTCTCATGGACTTTGAGCTAGGTCTGTTAGGATAGAAGGTGGCGTAGACTCCACACTGCATCATCAGCCCAGGGTCACGCAGCCTAGAAGAGGTACAGAGACAACATTCTGGGGTGCCCACCTTGTGCCCACCTTCTTCCCACCTTGTTATATACCTTGTGCTATCTTGAAACAGCCCGCCACGTGGAGGCTGCTTTTCCCATTTTATTATCAGTTATTTTCCAGTTTGGAATGGAGGCTTTGCGAGGTGGCGTGACTTGAAAGCCCAAAGTCATGCAGCTTGAAAGTTGCAGGACTGGAACTGGAACCCCACTCTCTTGTCTCCCCTCTTCCTGTTACATGACGCTGTCAGCCACAGTCCCTAGGATCGGGCTGTACTCCAGGCAGGGACTGGGTGGTCTCATTGGCCTCCTCATTTCCAAGGGGAATTTCCAGCCTGGGATGGGATCACCTTTCCCCAAGGAAAAGGAGACATTGGAATGAAG